GGACGCATGCGGGCGGCAGCTGGGGCCTTCGGTGGGGCTCCCTATGGGGCCACGAAACGTGTGAGGGGTGTGCCGAATTGAGTGTGCGGGACGCATGCGGGCGGCAGCACTGGGGCCTTCGGTGGGGCTCCCTATGGGGCCACGAAACGTGTGAGGGGTGTGCCGAATTGGGTGTGCGGGGACGCATGCGGGCGGCAGCACTGGGGCCTTCGGTGGGGCTCCCTATGGGGCCACGAAACGTGTGAGGGGTGTGCCGAATTGGGTGTGCGGGACGCATGCGGGCGGCAGCACTGGGGCCTTCGGTGGGGCTCCCTATGGGGCCACGAAACGTGTGAGGGGTGTGCCGAATTGGGTGTGCGGGACGCATGCGGGCGGCAGCACTGGGGCCTTCGGTGGGGCTCCCTATGGGGCCACGAAACGTGTGAGGGGTGTGCCGAAGTGGGTGATGACGATGACGATGACGACGATGACAATGACGATGATGATGATGATGATGATGATGATGATGATGATGATGATGATGATGATGATGATGATGATGATGACGATGATGATGATGATGATGATGATGATGATGATGATGATGATGATGATGATGATGATGATGATGATGATGATGATGAGGATGATAGGAGGGGAGAGGAGGCGGAGGAGGAGGAAGGAGGAAGGAAGGAGACGCGGGGCACCGTCTCTTCAAAACGAGGACCCAACACCACAGGATGGTTGGGAATAAATTAGCCTGACGAGGGACCCAACCATATACAGGTGTGAGTACCGCAATAGTGATTCACTTTTTCGGTGGCGATCCCTATGAGGCAACGAACCGTGCTAGGGGTGTGCCGACATGAGTGGCGTGGTACACAACGCGAACGAAAACGATTGATCTGAGTACGTAGGGAGACTGAGCGCGGGTGAATCTGCGCGCGTGCGTCTGACTGTGAATGAATCTGCGTGCGAACGAGTCTACGTGCATGAATGCGAATATGACAAAGCGTGGCGCAATTGTGTATGAATGTCAATAGTTTGACAATGTCTGCCTCTGAGTACTCGTGACGCTGGGCGTGGCCGCCGCAAGGAGCTTCCCCGGGACTCCCCGACGGCATCGCCCGCGCGCCGCGACGCCAAAGTCGGCGCGCCCACCGGCGAGGATCGCGCCCGCTTCCTCCCCTTCCTTTACTCCCTCTTTGCCCGCGCACTCAAAAGTCCAAGGTTGCGGGCGCAGCGCAGCGCGGAGTCCCCGCGACGCGCGCAGGTCGCCCCGGAGGGGTCCCAGCGACGCGCGCGGGTCGTCCACTGCGCGGAGCAAAGAGAGCTAGCTGGCTGGCTGATAGCGGGCAAGGCTCTTGCCGCTGGGCAGAGAGACGACGGGACGCATGCGGGCACACCCACTGGGACCTTCGGTGGAGCTCCCTATGGGGCCACGGAACGTGTGAGGGGTGTGCCGAAATGGGTGTGCGGGACGCATGCGGGCACACCCACTGGGACCTTCGGTGGAGTTCCCTATGGGGCCACGAAAGTGTGAGGGTGTGCCAAAATGGGTGTGCGGGACGCATGCGGGCACACCCACTGGGACCTTCGGTGGAGCTCCCTCTGGGGCCACGAAACTTGTGAGGGTGGCCGAAATGGTGTGCGTGACGCATGCGCACACCCCTGGGCCCTTCGGTGGAGCTCCCTATGGGCAACGAAACGTGTGAGGGGTGTGCCGAAATGGGTGTGGGGACGCATGCGGGCACACCCACTGGGACCTTCGGTGGAGCTCCCTATGGGGCCACGAAACGTGTGAGGGGTGGGCCGAAATGGGTGTGCGGGACGCATGCGGGCACACCCACTGGGGCCTTCGGTGGAGCTCCCTATGGAGCCACGAAACGTGTGTGGGGTGTGCCGAAATGGGTGTGGGGGACGCATGCGGCCGCGGGCACTGGGGCCTTCGGTGGAGCTCCCTATGGAGCCACGAAACGTGTGAGGGGTGTGCCGAAATGGGTGTGGGGGACGCATGCTGGCACACCCACTGGACGCTTCGGTGGAGCTCCCTATGGGGTCACGAAACGTGTGAGGGGTGTGCCGAAATGTGTGTGCGGGACGCATGCGGGCACACCCACTGGGACCTTCGGTGGAGCCCCCCATGGGGCCACGAAACGTGTGAGGGGTGTGCCGAAATGGGTGTTCGGGACGCATGCGGGCACACCCACTGGGACCTTCGGTGGAGCTCCCTATGGGGCCACGGAACGTGTGAAGGGTGTGCCTAAATGGGTGTGCGGGACGCATGCGGGCACACCCACTGGGACCTTCGGTGGAGCTCCCTATGGGGTCACGAAACGTGTGAGGGGTGTGCCGAAATGGGTGTGCGGGACGCATGCGGGCACACCCACTGGGACCTTCGGTGGAGCCCCCCATGGGGCCACGAAACGTGTGAGGGGTGTGCCGAAATGGTGTGCGGGACGCATGCGGGCACACCCACTGGGACCTTCGGTGGAGCTCCCTATGGGGCCACGAAACGTGTGAGGGGTGTGCCGAAATGGGTGATGACGATGATGATTAAGATGGGAGGAGGGAGGGGGCAGCGGGAAGGAAGGAACGCGGGGCGACGTCTCTTCAAAACGAGGACCCAACACCACAGGATGGTTGGGAAATTAGCCTGACGAGGGACCCAACCATATGCAGGTGCGAGTACCGCAATAGTGATTCATTTTTTCGGTGGCGATCCCTATGAGGCAACGAACCGTGCTAGGGGCGTGCCGACATGAGTGGCGTGGTACACAAAGTGAACGAAAACGATTGAGCTGAGTACGTAGGGAGACTGAGCGCGGGTGAATCTGCGCGCGTGCGTCTGACTGTGAATGATCTGCGTGCGAGCGAGTCTACGTGCATGAATGCGAATATGACAAAGCGTGGTGCAAATGTGTATGAATGTCAATAGTTTGACAACGACTGCCTCTGAATACTCGTGACGCTGGGCGTGGCCGCCGCAAGGAGCTTCCCCGGGACTCCCCGACGGCATCGCCCGCGCGCCGCGACGCCAATGTCGGCGCGCCCACCGGCGAGGATCGCGCCCGCTTCCTCCCCTTCCTTTACTCCCTCTTTGCCCGCGCACTCAAAAGTCCAAGGTTGCGGGCGCAGCGCAGCGCGGAGTCCCCGCGACGCGCGCAGGACGCCCCGGAGGGGTCCCAGCGACGCGCGCGGGTCGTCCACTGCGCGGAGCAAAAAGAGCTAGCTGGCTGGCTGATAGCGGGCAAGGCTCTTGCCGCTGGGCAGAGAGACGACGGGACACATGCGGGCACACCCACTGGGACCTTCGGTGGAGCTCCCTATGGGGCCACGGAACGTGTGAGGGGTGTGCCGAAATGGGTGTGCGGGACGCATGCGGGCACACCCACTGGGACCTACGGTGGAGCTCCCTATGGGGCCACGAAACGTGTGAGGGGTGTGCCAAAATGAGTGTGCGGGACGCATGCGGGCACACCCACTGGGACCTTCGGTGGAGCTCCCTATGGGGCCACGTAACGTGTGAGGGGTGTGCCGAATTGGGTGTGCGGGACGCATGCGGGCACACCCACTGGGACCTTCGGTGGAGCTCCCTATGGGGCCACGAAACGTGTGAGGGGTGTGCCAGAATGGGGGGTGGAACCGCATGCGGGCGCAGCCACTGGGCCCTTCGGTGGAGCTCCCTATGGGGCCACGAAACGTGTGAGGGGTGTGCAAATGGAATTGTGCGGGACGCATGCGTGGCACACCCACTGGGACCTTCGGTGGGAGGGCTCCCTATGGGGCCCGAAAACGTGTGAGGGTGTGCGAAATGGGTGTGGCGGGAGGCATGCGAACGCAGCCACTGGGGCCTTCGGTGGAGCTGCCTATGGGGCCACGAACGTGTGAGGGGTGTGCCGACATGGGTGTTGGGGAGGCATGCGAACGCAGCCACTGGGGCCTTCGGTGGAGCTCCCTATGGGGCCACGAAACGTGTGAGGGGTGTGCCGAAATGGGTGTGCGGGACGCATGCGGACGGCAGCACTGGGGCCTTCGGTGGAGCTCCCTGTGGGGCCACGAAACGTGTGAGGGTTGTGCCGAAATGGGTGTGCGGGACGCATGCGGGCACACCCACTGGGACCTTCGGTGGAGCTCCCTATGGGGCCACGAAACGTATGAGGGGTGTGCCGAAATGGGTGTGCGGGACGCATGCGGGCACACCCACTGGGACCTTCGGTGGAGCTCCCTATGGGGCCACGAAACGTGTGAGGGGTGTGCCGAAATGTGTGTGCGGGACGCATGCGGGCACACCCACTGGGACCTTCGGTGGAGCCCCCCATGGGGCCACGAAACGTGTGAGGGGTGTGCCGAAATGGGTGTGCGGGACGCATGCTGGCACACCCACTGGGACCTTCGGTGGAGCTCCCTATGGGGCCACGAAACGTGTGAGGGGTGTGCCGAAATGGGTGATGACGATGATGATGAAGATGGGAGGAGGGAGGGGGCAGCGGGAAGGAAGGAACGCGGGGCGCTGTCTCTTCAAAACGAGGACCCAACACCACAGGATGGTTGGGAAAAATAGTCCAAACATAGTCTGGGGACTATTTTTGGGGTACTTTTTATTCTTTGTCGGAAATCCTCCTACATAAGCACAAGGGGGTGGAGGGAGGGGGGAGGGCTCCTTAGGAGAAGGCTGCTTCTCAAAGGGCGCCGGCCTTACACCCGTAGACAAGGCCCGCGCCTTCCCCCTCCGCGCGTGGCTGATGGGGCATCGGGGGCGAGAAAGCGCCCGCGAGGGCGGAGGGGAGAGAGGGCGGGAGCCGCAGGAGGACGGGGACGAGGAACACGCGCAGGGTGGGCGGCAAGACCGCCGGGTGCCGCAAGAGTCCCGAGAACTCCTCGGGATTCCGCGGGAGGTCCTCGGGATTCCCTGGGAGTCCTCGGGATTCCACGAGACTCTTGAGGATTCGTTCGGGGGTGGGGGGGGATCGAAAGACGCCGAGGCGCGGTCAGCCGGGAAAGGGGGATAGGGCGCTGGCCTTGTCCTCGAGCGCCTCTATCTTCTGATTCAGTCTGGTGATGTCCTGGGCGAGGCGGCGGCGCAGCAGCCGTGGCACGAGGCACCGACGAGCAGCACGCATGGGCGCCAGCGCGATGAGCCGCGGCTAAGTGCAGCGAGCGGCCAGGGGCATCACAACCGAGGCACTGTAACGTTCCATTTCGATTCCTTACCTCCTTCTCCTCCTCCTCCTCCTCCTCCTCCTCCTCCTCACTCTCCTCCTCCTCCTCCTCCTCCTCCTCCTCCTCCTCCTCCTCCTCCTCCTCCTCGTCCTCCTCCTCCTCCTCGTCCTCCTTCCTCCTCCTCCCTCTCCTCCTCCTCCTCCTCCTCCTCCTCCTCCGCCTCTTCCTCCTCCTCCTCCTCCCTCCTCCTTCTCCTCCTCCTCTCCTCCTCCTCCTCCTCCTCGTCCTCCTCCTCCTCCTCCCTCCTCCTCCTCCTCTTCCTCCCCCCTCCTCCTCCTCTCTTCTCCTCCTCCTTCTTTCTGCTCCGTCCTCTCCTCCTCCTCCCTCCTCTCCTCCTCCTCCTCCTCCTCCTCCTCCTCCTCCTCCTCCTCTATGTTCCCTAAACATCACTCATCCCTGCCGCGCCCCGAGGCTTACCAGAAGGGCGGGCCGGGCATTTCGCTTGAGATTTCGCTACCATGTATGATCCTGCAGTTTACAGCTTGGCAACAAGGCAGGCCGCTTCCAACATGTAGCTCTCGCCTTAGCGCAGCGCACACTAATCTTCAGCGATTACATGTTAAAGAAAAAACGTCTTGAGGGCGGGTCGTTTTCAAAATGTGGCTCTCGCCCCAGCGCCGCGCACATTCGTTTGAGCAGCTTGCTATGATCTCGCGGATTGAAGCCGGGCGCTGCTTAAAAAATGGCTCTCGACTGAGCGGCGCGCACATTTGTCAAACATTTGCAACCGTTTCATGGGCTCGCACGGCGAACGTACCAGACATGATGTTTTGGAGTAAGTCTGGATTGTCAGGGCGCAACAGTGATATGTTGATTCGCAATGTCGAAGTCCCAGAGAGAGCGTGTTCCACCGCCGCTTCACTGTGGAAACTTCCCCCCCCTCTTCCTCCGGAACCCGGGGGTCCCCCCCTCCGAAAATCCCCCCCCCTGCTCGAACCCCCCCCCTCCCTTGCCCGGCAACCCCCCCCCCCCTAACCCCTACCCCCCCCTCCCTCCAGAAAACCAGGGGGGGGGTTCACTACCGGTTCGATCCCCCTTCCTCCAAAAAACAGGGCGGGGGTCACTACAAACAAAAACAAAACAATAACAAAAATCACAAACAAAAATGATACAAGCAAAACACAACTACAAAAAACACAAAAAGCAACAAAAAAAAAAAAGTGACAAAAAAAAAAAAAAAAAAAAAAAAAAAAAAAAAAACACAAAAAAACAAACGAAAAAAAAACCACACACCCAACAAAAAAAAAACCGAAAAAACAAAAACACAAACAAAAAAACAAATATAAATAAAAACCAAAAATTTAAAAACAGGTTCGATCCCCCCACACCGTCCGCACCATCGCCCTCACCGCTGACCCGAGCACCACCTTCCCCACCACCACTGTCCCACTGTCCCCACCACCACTGTTCCCACCATTGGCCTCAGTGTCCCCACCAGTGCCCCCATCACTGTCGCGTTGTCCCAACTGTCCCCACCACTGTTCCCACCACGGTCCCACTCTCCCAACTGTCCCCGCTGTCCCCACCACTGTCCCCACTGTCCCCGCTGTCCCCACCACCGTCCCACTGACCCCACTCTCCCCGCCGCTGTCCCACTGAGCTGTCCCACTATTCCCACAACTGTCCCAACCACAGTCCCCACTGTACCACTGTCCCATTGTCCCACCACCGTCCGCATCACCGCCCTCACCAGTCCCCACCACCACCGCCCAACCACTGTTCCCACTGTCCCCACCACTGTCCCACTGTCCCCACCACTACTGTCGCCACCACCACCGTCCCCACAACCGTCCCACTGTCCCCACCACTGTCCCCACTGTTCCCACAATTGTCTCCACTGTCCCCACCACTGCCCCCACCAGTGTCTTATTGTCCCCAATGTCCCCACAACGGTCCCACTCTCCCCATTGTCCCCGCTGTCCCCACCACTGTCCGACTGTCCCCACTGTCCCCACCACTGTCCCACTGCCCCGACTGTGCTGTCCCACTGTTCCCACTGTCCCCACCACTCTCCCCACTGTATCACGGTCCCATTGTCCCACCAACGGCCTCATCACCACCCTCACCACTGTCCCCACCACCACCGTCCCACCACTGTTCCCACTGTCACCACCACTGTCCCACTGTTCCTTCGCCACTGTCCCCACCACCACCGTCCCCACCACTGTTCCCACTGTCCCCACCACTGTCCCACTCCCCCCAATTCTGTCCCCACCACTGTCCCACTGCCCCGAGGAGCGGTAATCAGTTGCCGGCGGGGGAGAGGGGAAGGGTTCGAACCCGTAGCGCCCCCCCCTTTCCATGATGGACCGGGGGAGGGGCAGGGGGGGGGTTCGGACACGTAGTGACCCCACCCGGTTTTCCAGGGGGGGGGACGAGTTAGGAACCCCCAGTGACCCCCCCCCTCGGTTTTCCGCCAGCAGCGGTAGAACACGCTCCGTCAAATCCCAAGAACGGCGATCTGGCGCGACTCAGGACCGTCAAAACGCATCAATCAAACTGATTCGTAATCCCGCAGATGGTGTTTGGCACGCTTCACGGTCTTCGAACGTTCGCCTCCCACGGGGCACTTCCTCTGGTGAAAATGAATCCTTGTAGGAACCTATGAAAAGAAGCTCGGGAGAGAGTAGATCCCAACATAGTTAATGAATCTCGGGCTTACACTGGTAATCCACATGTTCCACTCCCTCCTCCCCCTCCTGCTCCTCCCCCTGCCCCTCCCACTTCCCCGCCCCCATCCCCCCTCCCTGTTCTCCTCCTCCTCCTCCTCCTCCTCCTCCTCCACCTCTTCCTTCGCCTCGGTTTTTCTTTATTTCCTGCCTCCTCCTCCAAATACGCTTCATCCTCCCTTCTCGTCCTCCCTGCGCCTTTCCATGAGGTGCTGCGTCGTCTTAATAATACTGGCAATGGTGGTAATAGTAGTAGTAATGGTTGTGGTAGCAATAGTAGTAGTAGTAGTAGTAGTAGTAGTAGTAGTAGTAGTAGTAGTAGTAGTAGTAGTAGTAGAAGTAGTAGTAGTAGTAGTAGTAGTAGTAGAAGTAGTAGTAGTAATAGTTGTTGTTGTTGTTGTTGGTGTTGTTGTTGTTGCTAGCAGTAGTCGTAGTAGTAGTAGTAGTAGTAGTAGTAGTAGTAGTAGTAGCAGTAGTAGTAAGTAAGTAGTAGTAGCGTGAGAAGTAGTAGTAGTAGTATTCAGTAGTAGTAGAAGTATAGTATATAGTTTTGTTGTTGTTTGTGTTTTGTTGTCGTTCTAGCAGTCGTCGTAGTAGTAGTGAGTAGTAAGTAGTAGTTAGTAGTAGTAGTCAGTAGTACAGTAGTAGTAGTAGTAGTAGTAGCAGTATTGTAGTAGTGTTTTAGTAGTAGCAGTTATAGTAGCAGTAATCGTATTTATTTGTTTTGTTAGTATGTTCGTATTAGTATTATAGTAGTAATGTAATAGTAGTAGTATAGTAGTAGTAGTAGTTAGTAGCTAGTGTTTTGTGGTCAGTGTAGTAGTAGTAGTAGTAATAGTAGTAGTAGTAGTAGTAGTAGTAGTAGTAGTAGCTATTGTTGTAAAAGTAGAAGTAAAAGTATAATAAGTAGTAGTAGTAGTAGTAGTAGTAGTAGTAGTAGTGGTAGTGGTAGTGGTAGTAGTACAAGTAGTAGTAGTAGTAGTAGTAGTAGTAGTTAGTTAGTTTGTTAGTTAGTTAGTTAGTTAGTTGGTTGGTTCGTTCGTTCGTTCGTTAGTAGTCAGTCAGTAGTAGTAGTAGTAGTAGTAGTAGTAGTAGTAGTAGTAGTAAAAGTAGTAGTAGTAGTAGTAGTAGTAGTAGTAGTAGTAGTAGTAGTAGTAGTAGTAGTAGTAGTGGTAGTAGTAGTAGTAGTAGTACTAGTGGTAGTAGTCGTGGCTGCAATAGTAATAATAGTAGTAGTAGTAATAGTAGTAGTAGTAGTAGTAGTAGTAATAGTGGTAGTATTACTACTACTCCTACTATAGTAGTAGCTGTAGTAGAACTAGTGATGGTAGTAGTAGCCGTACCAGTAGCAGTAGTAGTAGCAGTAGTAGCAGTAGTAGTAGTAGTAGTAGTAGTAGTAGTAGTAGTAGTAGTAGTAATAGTAGTTGTAGTAGTAGGAATAGTAGTAGCAATACCAATACAACTAGTAGCGGAAGAAGTAGTAGTAGTAGTAGTAGTAGTAGTAGTAGTAGGAGTAGTAGTAGTATTATAGTAGTAGTAGTAGTACTACTACTAGTCGCCGTCGTCGCAAGAACTGTACTAGTAGCAGTAGTGGCAGTAGTAGTCGTAGTAGCAGTAGTAGTAGTAGTCGCAATAGAGGCGTAGCAGCAGTAGTAGCAAAAGTAGTAGTAGTGGTAGTAGTAGTAGTAGAAGTAGAAATCGCCGTAGTACTAGAAGTACGAGTACTAGTTGTTGTAGACACTGTGGTCACATTACAAGCAGCAAAGTCAACCTGCGTCATCGTAACCTTCTGAATTAGCAAATACTAATTAATGGTAGTAACAGTGGACGTGAGAGTAGTAATACGACCGAAAACAACAGTACTAATACTGTCGGTAACAACATTAGTAGTGGCCCAAAAAGTAATGCGAGCACGAAGAAAATACTTGCAATATAATATAAGACAGGTAGTGCGAGCACGCGTCGTAGTTTTGCGCATGCTAGTAGTAGTAGTAGTCGTCGTCGCAGTAGTAGCCCAAGTGGTAGTAGATCAAGTCGGAATGCCATCCGCAAGAAAATAAATATATCAGTAGTAGTATCTAGCGATAGTAGTAGCAGTGGTAACATGGATAATACTAATAATAAGAATCGTGGTGTTACTGGTGCTACTATTACTACTACTACTACTACTACTACTACTACTACTACTACTACTACTACTACTAAAACTACTACTACTACTACTACTACTACTACTACTACTACGACGACTACTGCTACTACTACTTCTACTTCTACTACTACTACTACTACTACTACTACTACTACTACTACTACGACGACTACTGCTACTACTACTTCTACTTCTACTACTACTACTACTACTACTACTACTACTACTACTACTACTACAAATACGACTACTACCACTACTCCAGCTACTACTACTACTACGACTCCGTCTACTACTCCGACTACGACGATTACTACTACTACTACTACTACTACTACTACTACTACTACTACTACTATTACAGCTACGAGTACTAGTACTAATACTCTTACTGGCGTTACCATGCTTACTACTGAATCGTTGTATCACATGTGGGGTTAATGCTAATCAGAATAGCACCGGTACTGGTAATAGTATCAGAAATTATCGGAATAATAAGCGTAGCGGTAAGCATAGTAGTTGTCCCAATAATAATAAACATGTTGATCGCAGTCTAAAGCAATCATTCAACTAGGAGGCGTCATTTCGAAGGCAGATCCTGAAGTCGCTGGAATTTCGTCGACCTCTTCACATACGATCCCTAATACAATCCCCAGCAAGAGATGAATGTGGATTGGCCGTCCGGGAGCGCGGTTCAGCCCAAGGCATCACTCCGCCCCCCGCAAGGAGCGTTATCTCTGGCACCGGGGAGCGCCAAAAATATAGGGTCCCCGTCCGCGGCTTGGCGGCAGTAGTACTAAGTAGTCGTCGTCGTCGCAATAATATTAGGAATCGAAATAGTAAGGGTACTGATAGCGGCAGTCGCATTAGCAAACGTAGTAGTGATCGAAGTTACACTGGTATTCATACGAGTTGAAGATATAAAACCAAAAACAACACCAGCCGAAAAAGAGCAGTGGTACTCGTAGTAGTAGCACTAGTAGTCGTATTGAAGTAGTCGTAGGAATAATAGCAGTACAATATCAAAATAGCTGCGTAGTAGCAGCGAACAAACAGAAGCACGAGCCGTAGCAAATATACGCAGTAGTAGTAGTAGTCGTAGCAGGAGTATGGGTAATAGTAATAATAACAATAATCGAAATAGTCATACTATCAGTTGTCGTAGTAGTAGTAGTCGTAGTAATAATACCACTAGCAATAACAATAGTAGTGGTAGTAGTAGTGCGAGTAGTAGGCATAGCATTGGTAGTACTAGTGGTTGTAGTAAGGTAGTCGTAGTAGTAGTAGTAGTAGTAGTAGTAGTAGTAGTAGTAGTAGTAGTAGTAGTAGTAGTAGTAGTAGTAAGCAGTAGTAGAAAGAAAAGTAAAAGAAAGCAGGCAAATAGTAAAATGTGTAACAATCGCAATGGTCACACGAGTCGTGGCTCTGGTGACATTAATACTTAAAAAATCATCGTAAAACCGATGGCCGTGACAATCGTACTACTAGAAATATTAGTGAGTGGAAGAAGTCGCACCAACACTAACACTGGCGGTAGTAGTCGTATTATCCTGGCGAAAGACCCAACCATAAGCAATTGTTGGTAACGCGTTGTGGGTGCCGCTTTCGGTGGGGCTCCATATGAGGCCACGAAGCGCTGCCTTGGATGGGGGAACCGCATGCGGACTGCGCCACCGGGGCGGGCCTTCGGTGCAGCTCCCTATGGGGCTACGAAACGCTGCCCTGGATGGGGGAACCGCATGCGAACTGCGCCACTGGGGCCTTCGGTGGAGCTCCCTATGGTGCCACGAAACGCTGCCCTGGGTGGGGGAAGCGCATGCGAACTGCGCCACGGGGGCCTTCGGTGGAGCTCCCTATGGGGCTACGAAACGCTGCCCTGGGTGGGGGAACCGCATGCGAACACCCCCACTGGGGCCTTCGGTGGAGCTCCCTATGGGGCCACGAAACGCTGCCCTGGTGGGGGAACCGCATGCGAACACCCCCACTGGGGCCTTCGGTGGAGCTCCCTATGGGGCTACGAAACGCTGCCCTGGGTGGGGGAACCGCATCGAACACCCCCACTGGGGCCTTCGGTGGAGCTCCCTATGGGGCCACGAAACGCTGCCCTGGGTGGGGGAACCGCATGCGAACACCCCCAGTGGGGCCTTCGGTGGAGCTCCCTATGGGGCTACGAAACGCTGCCCTGGGTGGGGAAACCGCATGCGAACACCCCCACTGGGGCCTTCGGTGGAGCTCCCTATGGGGCCACGAAACGTTGCCCTGGGTGGGGGAACCGCATGCGAACACCCCCACTGGGGCCTTCGGTGGAGCTCCCTATGGGGCTACGAAACGCTGCCCTGGGTGGGGGAACCGCATGCGAACACCCCCACTGGGGCCTTCGGTGGAGCTCCCTATGGGGCCACGAAACGCTGCCCTGGGTGGGGGAACCGCATGCGAACACCCCCCCTGGGGCCTTCGGTGGAGCTCCCTATGGGGCTACGAAGCGCTGCCCTGGGTGGGGGAA